CTCGACCCTACCGTGAAGTGGCGCCATCTATGTACGCCAAACTGAAGCATTGTCGTTTTCTCGTGGCTCCATCTATCGGATTAAGGCGAACTATTTAATGGAAATAGTGATTGATCGCTATTCAGATCTGACACACATTTCGTACGTCTTCATCACTAGACGGGGGCAACGTTTCGGAAAATGGAGTATTTTTTTCTGTTTTAAAAAAAATATCTATAACATTTTTATCCAGAATAACTTTTTTATAGTTTTTTTATTCCTTCAACAAACTCAACATTCGATATTTTATCTACTGAACATGATTAATGTTCTCATTAAGATGGCAGCGGAAGTCGCGTCTTAAAGGAAGAATTATACGAATTAATTACTTTCTTCACTGGAAGATTGACTCTTCAAAGATGTAGAAACCATTTCCGTCCCCCTCTCATTTGTATTTTTCCGAATTTTATAAAAAATAAAATAAAAGAATTAAATTCATGTTTGCGGCTATTATCGAAAATGCGGTCGCGAATTTCATCTTTTTTTCCTTTTATTATTTTTTATTTTTTTAAGCTAAGAAAACGAAAGATTGATTGAAAAGAACGCGCAGGAAAAACGAGAAAATAATTACTTCTGTGTCATAGAAAATATGATTGATACGACATAAAATAGCGGAAGAGGAAAGCCATGCATACAGAGGAACACATTCTCAATGAACTTGGACGTTTAAACTCGTGAAGCCGTTCTACCCCCACGTCAAAGTAATTGAGTCGAACAGACGTTCGATTTTTTGATGTTCTACAAACATTTAATGACTTTTCTTTTACTTCCAATCTTTCTTTTTAACTTCTGGTCATGTGAACGGGCTTGGGGTCTTTGGGGGGAGGAAATTGTGCGCGTGCATCCAAGTAATTAGTACGTACGAAGCTTAGAAATGGTCCTGGAATCGTTTCGTAGTCGTAGATCTCCATGCAAACCAGATCTAAATCTTGAATTCTTCTGTCTGAAGTGTTTGTAGTGGTTCCCATCGTGGCACAAGTCAGGACTGCTACTTTGACTCATTCAAATTTCCCTCCCCCTAGTGACCAAGCTATTGCCTGAAATGTAGGTATAGCTTAATTAGCTGTTAAGGTAAGTGTCTCTATTAAGAAATCTTAATGGGAACCCCTACCTTGTTATAGAAATCTAGTGCTTCAGGCTATACACAGTTTCCTCGCCCGCTTAACTATACTATTCAGGATTATTTTATGGTATAGTAGAGACAAAACGTGTCAAATTTCGCTGGAAAATTTAATATTTCATCTGAATTCTTTTTTCTTGAAGTCGACGGGAGCATTTCTGATTTGCAATTCTTCAATACACTTCGTTGGTGCACAAGAATAGTGACACAACTCAAAAAAATAGATCTTCCAAAAACAGCCACTTAAAAGTTTCTTGTTTCCTGCAAGGCTTTGTCATAATCTTGGATTTTTAAAATTTTCAAATCTATTTTGGAAATAAATATTAGTGTTCGTTCTTCCACATAAAAGTATGGGGAGTTTGCTATACATTTGTGCAATAAACTCGAAATTGGAAATTTTTGAGTTGTGTCACTATTCTTGTGCACCAACGACTTCATGAATATACTTTTCGCTTGTTTTCAATAAAGGATTTATTCCAAATTTCACCTCGAAATGATCCAAATAAAGTATTATATGCGAGATTAACTTCAATGTTAATTGTTACAACCAACGAGGAGTAAACAACAACAAACGTTTCATCATTACAATGCCAGGGGATGGTTCACAATTTGAATTTTTACACGGTTATATGTGACATAACTGTACAGTTGTATTTACTGTATATGTTAATTGGCAGATAATTTGATTTATCTTTGTCTGAAGTTTTAGATTAATTAACAAAGTTAAATAATAAACAAATTAATTATATTTATTTGCACATAATTCCAGGTTTGTTAAGTTTAATAAACACTTAACTGGATCACGAATAATTAATTAAGTTTATATTATATATATATATATATTTTTTTTTTCCTTTGGCTATTTTAAATTCTAATTTTATTGCTAATACTTTACTGAGAAATCATTATCACGTAAAAGTGTAGTTCATTTAAGCTTTTAAGTAATTTATATATAGTAGCCAAAGGTATTCTTAATTGAAGTACTTGAAATTAGGGGATGACAGATTGTTTAGAAACTTAAAAGCATTACAAGCCGAAAACTGATAAGAGAAGAATGCCATTGACAAGTTTGAGGGCTTAGACTACAGTAAACATTTGGCTTTAGGCTAAACACTACGCTGATTGAAAGGAACAGCTGCGATAATTAGTGCAACGTATTTAAAACGTATAAAACGTATAAAAGTGCTCCACTCGTAGTCCCTGAGAAACTTTAATTTAATATTAAACTTTTATTAATATATGATATGGATGATTCATACATATAGTACTTTACATAATTAGTAAATTAGTATTATAATCTTAGTGTTTAAGGTAAAAGTTGAGCAAGTGTGGTAAAATGGGCTAGATGTAGGCTAAAATTAAGTAAATTCTAATGCTTAAGTCGTTATACAGTATTTTATGATAAACCACAAATCACGTGTCGTGTACTGTTAAACCTGTAAGTTCTGACTTGTTCTTTTCTTCTCTCAATCACACCTGAAGAAGATACAGATTTGCTCCAAGTTTAAAGTTACGTGAAATGTAAGTTTAGAAGTTGTAAGTACTATAAAAATGTACTTAAAATATTTTTATATTACTTATACAGACGTTCGATATTTGGAAATAGTGATTGATCGCTATTCAGATCTGACACACATTTCGTACGTCTTCATCACTAGACGGGGGCAACGTTTCGGAAAATGGAGTATTTTTTTTCTGTTTTAAAAAAAATATCTATAACATTTTTATCCAGAATAACTTTTTTATAGTTTTTTTATTCCTTCAACAAACTCAACATTCGATATTTTATCTACTGAACATGATTAATGTTCTCATTAAGATGGCAGCGGAAGTCGCGTCTTAAAGGAAGAATTATACGAATTAATTACTTTCTTCACTGGAAGATTGACTCTTCAAAGATGTAGAAACCATTTCCGTCCCCCTCTCATTTGTATTTTTCCGAATTTTATAAAAAATAAAGTAAAAGAATTAAATTCATGTTTGCGGCTATTATCGAAAATGCGGTCGCGAATTTCATCTTTTTTTCCTTTTATTATTTTTTATTTTTTTAAGCTAAGAAAACGAAAGATTGATTGAAAAGAACGCGCAGGAAAAACGAGAAAATAATTACTTCTGTGTCATAGAAAATATGATTGATACGACATAAAATAGCGGAAGAGGAAAGCCATGCATACAGAGGAACACATTCTCAATGAACTTGGACGTTTAAACTCGTGAAGCCGGTCTACCCCCACGTCAAAGTAATTGAGTCGAACAGACGTTCGATTTTTTGATGTTCTACAAACATTTAATGACTTTTCTTTTACTTCCAATCTTTCTTTTTAACTTCTGGTCATGTGAACGGGCTTGGGGTCTTTGGGGGGAGGAAATTGTGCGCGTGCATCCAAGTAATTAGTACGTACGAAGCTTAGAAATGGTCCTGGAATCGTTTCGTAGTCGTAGATCTCCATGCAAACCAGATCTAAATCTTGAATTCTTCTGTCTGAAGTGTTTGTAGTGGTTCCCATCGTGGCACAAGTCAGGACTGCTACTTTGACTCATTCAAATTTCCCTCCCCCTAGTGACCAGGCTATTGCCTGAAATGTAGGTATAGCTTAATTAGCTGTTAAGGTAAGTGTCTCTATTAAGAAATCTTAATGGGAACCCCTACCTTGTTATAGAAATCTAGTGCTTCAGGCTATACACAGTTTCCTCGCCCGCTTAACTATACTATTCAGGATTATTTTATGGTATAGTAGAGACAAAACGTGTCAAATTTCGCTGGAAAATTTAATATTTCATCTGAATTCTTTTTTCTTGAAGTCGACGGGAGCATTTCTGATTTGCAATTCTTCAATACACTTCGTTGGTGCACAAGAATAGTGACACAACTCAAAAAAATAGATCTTCCAAAAACAGCCACTTAAAAGTTTCTTGTTTCCTGCAAGGCTTTGTCATAATCTTGGATTTTTAAAATTTTCAAATCTATTTTGGAAATAAATATTAGTGTTCGTTCTTCCACATAAAAGTATGGGGAGTTTGCTATACATTTGTGCAATAAACTCGAAATTGGAAATTTTTGAGTTGTGTCACTATTCTTGTGCACCAACGACTTCATGAATATACTTTTCGCTTGTTTTCAATAAAGGATTTATTCCAAATTTCACCTCGAAATGATCCAAATAAAGTATTATATGCGAGATTAACTTCAATGTTAATTGTTACAACCAACGAGGAGTAAACAACAACAAACGTTTCGTCATTACAATGCCAGGGGATGGTTCACAATTTGAATTTTTACACGGTTATATGTGACATAACTGTACAGTTGTATTTACTGTATATGTTAATTGGCAGATAATTTGATTTATCTTTGTCTGAAGTTTTAGATTAATTAACAAAGTTAAATAATAANGCAAATCCATCCCCAAATAACCCATTCGATTTATGATTTAGAAATTTTTATATCAGAATTAAGCTTTTATTAATTATAAAAAAAATTAATTGCTAATTTAATATTCTGGTGTTTAACATTGGGTTCATTTCTATATATTATTTTAAATAAAAATAAATTGTTGATCAGGCTATTTTACAGACTATACAACAAAATTTGAAGGCGTGTGGCTCGCTTACGTGTAGTGTTGGCTTAACGAAGTTCTCGCTTATAAACCCTTTCGCGTGGGTGTCAGTCACAGGTGATAATGAAGCCAAACTTCTTTAGACACAGTGCATAATACATCGACGGGAGGCATGTTCTGTATCTAACATTCCACTCAAAGTAAGAGTTCCAATAGTTGAGGGTGTGCAAACATACGGGCCTAGCTTATAAGAGGAATAGTCGAGTTGTTTAATAATCGTGTTATTTCTACTCCGGTAAACACACTTACAAAGACTTCCAGATCCACTTCAAGACTCACAAGTAGGCATATCTACTCCCCATCCATCCATTGTCACTCCGAGGTGTAGCTTAGGTCCGTGCTATTGTATCATGGCGGAGGTGTTTTTATTGGGAGCCTGCCAGTCCACAATAGTGCCTGGATACCAGAACCCCGAGATTCACACGCATGCAGGAGTAGTCTGACCAGATCACTATGTTATTGTGACCGTTATTGTAGCTTCGTATGGTGAGTATACCGCTGTTTCATCTTAATTTATTTAGATTGAGTTATTATATAATGCAATTAAGTTGTTAATCTATATTTAGAAAGTTTTTAATGCCGTTATAGCTTATGATAATACATATCTTTGCTTTGGTAGATTAGCTTGGTTATAGGGAAGATAAAACTACACAGTAACACTAAAAATGCATTCAGGATTCATTTTTCGGGTAAATTTTATTCTTGAATCACTCTAGAATTTGATAATTTACATATTTATTTGTATTGTGCTTCTGTTTATTCAGTTTAACCTATTACCAAGTGGTCTAAACTTCTTTAAAAAAATGACTCCTATATAAAAATTAGCCAGAATAATACAGTATAAAAATGAATCTATGTTTAAATTATTAAATTGCTGCCAAAAATTCTCTTATTAATTAAGTTAATTAACTATAAATTTTAAATATACTAGACAATTAATATGCTTACGAAAGAATATAATACATTTACTATGATATAATACTTTTTAATAAATTTTGATATATTGATGGGAAAACTTACAGGTGTTATTCAGTGGTGTAGACTCAGAGCTTCTTTCTACGAAATATTAACAAAGAGAGTGCATTATAACCTGTGTTATATCATACTACTTTCATAAGTGTATGATTCAGTTCACAAGGATGATCCAATAGGGAGTATCGCAGACTAGAATTGGAAAGAGGACCGAGCTTTGACGAAACAGCATCGCTGCTTTAGTCAAGTGGTTGAGTTTCCCCTATCATAGAAAAGGGGAGGAGGTTTTAAGGGCCAGACTACAGCTGTCCACTGATGGTTCAACATCCGGGCGACCACTGCTGTTTCTTTTGATGATGTTTATTCTCACACAATAATAATTGTTTATAAAATACGTAAATTTTATAACAGTTAACACGTTCTAGAGTCCATTATTTTGGACAAATATCCGTTAAAATATTCGAATATCCGAGGAAATTTGGAGAAAACAAGATTCGTTATTGTGTTACCATACAAGTGCCTACGCCGTCTGACGTAACAGTAGTGTAATAAGATAATCAGTTTCTCTCTCATTCTTGTTTTTTCCTTATTCTTTTTAACTGTGAAAGCGAGAAACTGCACGCTTCTTACTCTTGTCACTGTTGTGGCTTCGAATCCGCAAACAATCTATCTCGGGTCCCCCGTGTCCCCGAGGGAAAGATAGTTTTAAACCTCCCTAGTTATTGGACGGGCACTCTCTTCTGTAGATGAATGGGAATCAATCTGGGGATTTCTACAAAAGGCCGACTCTATTCAGATTTACAAAGCTTTCAACGAAACTCACGAAGAGGATCCGTTGCCCCTTGAGACCCACGTAGAGGGAACCCAAGAGGCCCCAACAGGTGTTGGTCGGCCTTCTCCTGATGAAGTGACGATAGGTGCGTTACTAGTTCCCTCCCTGACACGCCTGAGGGTGGAGTTAGTCAGTTAGGAATTACAGATTTACTTTTGGTGAATTGTAAAGCAATTATGAAAATTTGTCACAATTTCTAAAGATTTATTTACAGATAGTATTCCACTGTTGAATTTTAATGGGGTTGGTTTATTTATTTTTTATTTCTCTTATATTTTATCTTCGTTGTAGAGGAATCAAGTATCCCCAGGCTAGTGAAAATGAAATGTCTTTAAATTATGTTTCTACTTTAAAATTATTCGTTTGATTTTATGTTTATAAATGATTTAAGTCTTCCATGATTTAGCGTTATAAGGCATAAGGCTCTACATTAGTTAAATTGCATTAGTTATATGTTACAGGCTTAGACGATTCTCAATGGCTAAGGCTACTTAGTGGTTTATATAAAAGATTTAATTTTAATTTCTTACATTAATATTAAAAGAATATTTTTATAGCAGATTACTATGAAAATTCTATTTAAAGTAGTGTTATAAAGCATTAAGTTCGAAATATTACATAAATTTCCGTCTGTAAACGGATTATTAATGCTACTTAATTGTATTTTTTCCACTGTAAAATGTAATTAATTATGATTTTATAGTATTTGCAAATTTTATAAGCTTCTATTGGAAGTTAATACAGTAATACCCCGAACTTACGCGATAGGTGGGACCGAGCGATAACCGCGTAAGTCGGGGTATAATTTCGCAATTTGTGTAAAATCCAAATCGGATGTATATAAGCTAATAAATGTTCTCGTTAATCTTATCTCGTCTTTTGATTCGTTCACGGTTACAAGAAATCACCACATATTGTCTCTCAAGTCTCCGTAGATATAACAAACACAGAAAAAAATAACTCAAAATAAATTGTAGCTATGTGTCGATTCCGCGCGGCACGTCCGAACAATGTAAGCCGAACAATAATGTTGGGGGAGTGAGTAATCAAGAGTTGAGTGGCGCTCAAACAAAAGACGAATCGACGAGATTTGAAAATCGTGTAACTCCAAGTTCGCGTAAGTCGAGGTATTACTGTATGTGTAAATTAAGTGTGAAGAGTGCATTTACTGGTTACTTTTTTAAAATAATAATACTGTAAAATATCCATTGAACAATAATTATAGTACTTTAAGTTAATTTTAATTTGAGAAATTGAATACTTTCAGGCTATTCACTCCAACATTATTCGTTTGTACTACACTTGTAATTAATTTCTACTTATAAAAATATATTACGATTCAATACTCTACTCCCGAGAAAAATAAAATAATAATAATAAAAGGAGGGAGGGGAGAAAAATGCGGCTTTAGTTGAAGACTAATTATTATTCCGCAACCGGCAAAGAGATAAAAGTAAAAACTTAAGAAATAATTGGCACAAGACGTCATACTTTGATTGCTCGGCCTCCAGTCTTGCTGACGGATGAGGTTGTCACATCGTCCATTCCGACCTTGCCTTTTGCGACAGTTCGGGGTTTGTCGCCCCCACACTCACCTCGGGCTTCAAAACTACTGACGCGTCATACGCAGGTGCATCTGAATGACAGGCTGTGGTCAACACAAGACGTATTTTGGATCTGGTACCTTGATCGTACAGACACACACACACGCACACACAAATTGACTTAGTATATTTATAGCAGTTACAACGGCATTTTTATGCCTACCAAGCTATAGAAAACAATTTTAGCTTTATACGAGGCTACACAAGTTCTAAAACTTAAAAAAAAAAAATATTTTTAAGATAATTAATCTTAAAAATTGATGTATTATCATTCCCATAAATTGATTATTTGAGAATAAGGGTAGAAAANTTATACGAGGCTACACAAGTTCTAAAACTTAAAAAAAAAAAATATTTTTAAGATAATTAATCTTAAAAATTGATGTATTATCATTCCCATAAATTGATTATTTGAGAATAAGGGTAGAAAATTTTAGCCACTGTTTCATTAAAAATGCTTCATTAAAATATAATTGCCATATATCATAGAGCTTATTAAAAAATATCATTATCAGATCGAATTTTTTCTTATATAAATTCATTATTTTTACTTTTTAGAAGCCAAAAACTTATTAACTTTTGGAGAAGGGAGGGGGAAAAAATCCTACATCAGCCAAGATTATTATTATTATTATTAAGGTTATCATCATAAAAAAATTGGCAGAAATCTAATAAATCTGTGTATTTTTTATTTAAAATTTTAATATTTTTTTCTAAATTTTAATGTCTTAATATTAATTAATTTTCATTTTATTATATTTAAAAATCAATTATAATTAGAATATGAATATATTATTAAGTGTTGAACTGTGTTTCCATTGTTGAATTCCGTTTAATAAGACTTTAATTACAATTAAAGCGTGGAAAATAATTTTTAAAAAATAGGCTTAAAATTCAAATAAGGCTTTTATATGTATTATTTAATTAGATAATAAGATAAAGTAGGAATTTATTTATATTATTGACAGGAATAAATTGAGATAAACTCGAGCTGACTGATAAGATTTAGCTTTTATTCTGTTTTCCGTCTTGGCAAATTTATTTCGATTTTTGTTTCCACATTTTTCAAGTGTTAAACTAAGTCTGGAGTCAAGAGAAATGCAATACGAAATGTAGTTTTAGATAGGAGCCATTATTCTAATCTCTTAAATATAACTCACTTCAATTTAAGTTGAAGAGAGTCCTGACAGTTTCCTGTCTTTGTTGAATATTATTGAACTTGTACGCATGCTCTGATAGGAAGAAGGTGATGCCCGGGCCGCCCATCATCCGAAACACACGGGGCAATCCATCATCGTCATTTTCGAATTTTACTTTGTAGACAACATTGCCGCAAATACACTTACTGCAGCTTAATGTTAAATATTCCTTATTGTGCCTAACCTTTCTTGTTTGACGGATTCAAAGTACTGTTCTATACACCCAGACCCCCTGCTCACACGACGTTTTTCGGGCCTAGGCCGAGGCCCCGCGCTCAGGGCGGCCCGCACTTTCAAATTTCTAAGAAACTTTCATTAGAAAATTGTTTGAGGGGCCTCACTGATAACGTTATCTAGAGGCCCCTTAATACTTCCAGCCGGATGCATCCAGAAATTACAATAATATACATTACTATTATTACTTTGGCCTGCTATATCGTAGTTTTACAGAATAGATTGTGAATAATTTACTATAAAATGAATATTTCTCTTGGATTTTTATACAGGCTGTGTACTATATTCCAAACATCATATTTAGATTTATATTATTTTAAAAATAATTATTTTAATGTAATTTTTTACAATATTTATTGGTAGTTTTCGTTATAATTAATCCTGTATTGTTCAAATTAACCCTGTATCCTTATATAAATCCTGATTTTCAATCGAAAATTAAAATAGAATTGTATGTAAATAGAAATTAACTGAATGCCTCGAGGCTACAACAAATTAACTTAATTTTTTCCTGGATTTCTGGGAAAATTTTTCTAAAGTTTCAAATTTCCTCTTTATTTAGGACACATCATAGGCCAATCTGAGAAACCAAGAAATTATAGTTTCCCTATATTTGTTGAATTTCTACAATATTCAACAAAGAAA